TTCATATATTTACCATTTTTTACTAATGATGATATAGTAATGTAAATGATAAAACAATAGTAACTATACATTATATTTATAATTATATATTGATAGTAATTATTTTATTTTGTTATTCATTACTAATATTACTGTATTTAATTATAGATTATTAAATGTAACTCAGTTTGCTTGAATCTGCGATTATAAGATAGTATGTTCATTGGTAATTAATGATTAATGTAGAATTTTATTAAATGAATAAGAATTATTAATATTTTATTGATAATAAAATTATGAATAAGAATCATAAATACAAATCTATATTTCTCTTTCATTAAGTATTTTTATGATAAAATATTAATTCCGAAATAATTTTAATAATATATAATTTTAATAAGTTGTTATATAAAATATATATTTTATATAACAATTTATTCTTGAAACTTTACTTTCCACTATGTTCTTCTATGTTCTGAGTTTATAGCAAAAAACAAATTTAAACAAATTTTGTAAATTAATGTCATTTATATACTGAAATTCAAATGAAAAATTTACATAAAAATTTCATTGAAATCGATCGATAACAAGCATCGAATAATTTATAAAATTTATTATATATTATTATTATTATATAATATATTTAAAAGGTATCTATTAGTAAAGATTGTAAAGATCTATGAAATGACTTAATAAAATATTCGTAAATGTTTCGATTATTTATCGATTTCCACAATTAATATTTCCAGAGAACAGTTTTTCTCCGTGAAACACGATATATTTGATTCCTGATTTTCAATTGTTATCGTTAAATTTCATATGACTCATTTCAATATCTTATTATCTTTCATATTATTATTCCAACTAGATAGAAGACTCCATCACGGTAGATGTCCCAGACTGTTGGCGGCTTTGGAATACGCGGAACAGCAGCAACAGCAGCAGCAAGGCATTGGCAGTGCTGGGGAATCGCTTACTGATTTCCCAGTGAACAGTCCTCCAACACAGACTGCAATCCTTGCAACCGCGATTGGAAATAATGGCGGTAGCAATGGGAATTTGGCGATTGCGCCTCGTGCCAGTCCCGAAATATCCGAGGCAGATGTCTCTTCGAACGTGTGCAATCGTATGGGGCTTCATCGAACTTCATCCGTTTCTTGCAATGGAAGCGATAATATTCTTTCGAATGCGACCGAAGCAAGCATTCAGGTATTTTGTGCATATATGGATTTTACTTTAAATAAAAATAAAAGATAAGAATAAAATTTTGAAAAGTCTAGATAGATACTCGATACGAAATTTGAAATGGTAATAAAGAGGAGTTAAGTTAAAAATTTATCAAAATTTATTATCTCTTGATTCGTTATTTAATGTCTTGAATTAAATTCCTTATTATTATATGAATTTTAAATATTTAAAAAAAAAATATAATAAATTTTCGTAAATTATAATTATAAGATATTAAAAATTTATCGAAATTATTTTTCGTTTAATTCTCTCTTAAAATAATTGAAAATACTCCGCCCTCAGACGAACAACGCGCTGCTAAGTCCACCTTGCACACACTATCGCAGAAGAAGCAGCGTGATGTTCAGCGACGTAGTGTTGCTGCACGGCAGCAATAGTGTCGGTAACGCGTTGCAGGCTGGCACGGCGGTTTCGCCCGGCGAAAGGAATGTGTGTTCGAGCGAAAAAATGACGCAGACCGGTGACGGGAATGTTTGGTCGAGTCCACTACCAGATCATATACAGGTATTTTCTATTGCAGTTCTACAAAGATGTCGGGTCCTACTGATCCGCTTTCACTGACATGTAATTTGTCATGTATACATATCATCATAGATGCAAACTGAATTGGGTGGAAATGAAGCTATGACTTGTCAAGAATTACTTGCATTAAGCGGTGCTTTAAGCGCTGCATTACCGACCGGACAATTGGCATTGGATTCTTTTCTTAATTCGCTTACTAAAGGTAAGTTCTTTTTCTTTTTTATTTTTTTTTTTTTAATTCTTTTTCTTTAAAAAAATTTAAAAGAATGAGTATAGTTTATATTTTTTACCGGTTTTAATTTAAGAGACTTGGAAGGAAAATGGCACAAGTGAAGATATTTTTAATTGAATGAAATTATGAGTGAAATTTTGAAAATGAAATTTTTTCAGAAATATATTTATAAATATGCTTCCAAATATTAATATATATTAAGTATATTTTATACAATATTTATATTATATATTGTATTCTCAGATATGTTATTTGTGAATTTTGTTATTAACATATATATAATATATAATAAATATATTATTATTAATAATATATAAAAAATAATATATAATATATAATAATATATAAT